GCTGAGGCACTGAGCAGTGCCTCAAACTCCATCCTTGGAGCACACTCCAGTGATAGAGAGCTTGCTATGCTTTTCTTCCTCCCACAACGTGCGTTAAAGCCTGAGGTGTGGGAGGGGGTTCTAGAAAACGTTTTTCCTTCAGATTCCATCACCTAGAAATTCATCAGCCAGAACCTCAAGAACTGCACCTGTGGCTTATGTTTATCTTGCCTCTGCAGGGTTATCTTTTGGCAGAAGAAGAGATATCTTTTTTGCCACATGATAAATGCAGAGGCAACATTTTAGCAAAAACGCCAGTGAAGTTCTAAATCACCATCTACTTTGGCATCTATACAGCAGGTTCAGACTCAGCAGACAATTTTCTTTTACAGAGCCCACAGAGAAAAGCCAGTTGTTTCAAGAGAAAGGAATGCATTAATGTCTGCACTCCATAGTTATTCATTAATATTTTCCTTGCACTGCTTCCATAGTTCTAAACACCCTATGCTTCATAAAAGAAAGAGAGGAGGGGAAAAAGCCAATGAAAGCCATTACGCTTTTCATTCTGAAAGTACCAGACTTCAAGACTAGGACATGTTTCGATGGATTACTCTGGAAGAAAGATGGAGCTGGGCCAGCAGCACCCAACATCACTGCAAAAGGGATGGTCACGTGGGAATCCTTGGAGCCTTTGTGTTTTAGGCAGTGATGTGTGATTGTGCAGTCACTAGCTGTCCCTGGCCCATCCCAACAGTGAGCCCAGAATACACCTTTGGGGTTGGAATGCAGCCAAAGGCTGGGACCTCTCCCCCACTGAGTCATACCCCTTCTGTCTGCATGATTTCCACCACAAACTGCACATCAGCTGCTTCCTGGGCCGCCCAAGCGAATGACAACCCAGTTGGCATTCAGTTGCTGTCCTTTCACAGAGCTTCATTCTGCTCTAAATGATGGCAAAGATTCAAATCATCCAAATAGTCTCCAGCTCCTCTGCAAGGAAGGCAAGGCTCACAGAGTTCTCAAAAGCTACCAGAAGTATCTCAGTTCTTGATGCTTACACTGGTCAGGGGGAAGAAAAATATCCCATACTTTTTCCCCCCCTTCAAACAGGAGCCCCACATCTCTCAAAGGATGAATCCCAGTTCCTCTTATTTCCTAGAGGCACGAGCAGAAGTTCTCCTACAGGCAGAACAGAGCAAGAAAGAAATTAGGGCTACACCTGTACTTGGTGAACATGGCAAACCCCAGAGCCCTGCTGGCCTGGCTGGGGGCGTGCATTTGTTTTGCCACACCCTGGAAAGCAGGATGGGAAATGAAATCTCCTGCCTCGTGGTACAGCAAGTGTAACCACAGAGTTTAATGAGCTGTTACCACAAACTCAGCGGGAAAGAGAAAAGAAAGCAAGCAAGGACAACTTCATGCCAGGTAATTTTTTTTTTTTAACGTATTCTTCCTCCTCCTTGTGCTAAGCAGTCCTCCTGCCCAAAACGCCAGCAGATTAAATCCAGCCACCAGATCAACACTGCAGCAGCTTGGCAGAGCTACTTTGCTAACACCTTCCTGTGCTTTTCCTACCCTGAGAGGAGCACCTGAGAAGAGCACGTTTCAAGTTCCTCTGGCCAGAGAGCTCCTGCAGACACAGGCACGTCTCAATGTACGAAGCTGCCTTGGGGAATGAATGCTGGACAATGCTTAGCACAAACCCAAGAGCAGACTGCAAGCAAAAAGGGGAACAGAGATCACATACGTGCTATTATAGGAGCTGCATTTAGTCCTTCGTATTTATTAAGAAATAAAACTACACTAGCTTGGAGAAAAGTCATCTTTAGCAGCAGTGTCCAACCTTTCGTACTCTTAAAGAATAGCATTTGTATTGCAAATCCAGTGCATCCTATTCTGATACAGATTGGGATTATTAATTTTATGGTAACTCAACACAGTTAAGAGAACTCACTGGGTTTTTACTTACATGTTAATATATTCCTTGAGGCTCAAGCAAAACTGATACACAAAGGCTCCTTCTGGTGGATTTCAGCAGCATTATCCAAGAAACAGAGCAGCTGCAGATCACCAAACCAAGTGTCCTGGATTCCACTGAAAATCTTAAAAGATGACCAGCCAGGTACAGAACCACACAGAAATGGTCCCTGTCTAAAGAAAGAAAAATCAAATTAAGGCAGAGGAAGTTGTATGTCTGGGAGCAGACAAACAGGACTGAGAGATGGAGAAAAAGTAGCAAATTCATTGCAGGGGAAAAGCACTGTTCCTTGCTCTCTGTGAAGCTGCAAAGTCTTTTCTGTTCTTGTCCTTCCCTTGGCAGGGAGGGGTAGAATGAATGTCAGTGAAGCTCTGTGGTGCTCTCCCTGTATACTTGTTTGAGCATTTCCCTTTCCTTCCCCTGGTGTCTTTGGGGGATTGTGTTGATACATCCCAGGACTGATCTGAAAGCCACTGCAGAACCTCCTTCATTTCTTAAGAAACTGATGGGCTTTATTTTTTAAATAAAGCAGGGCTACTGTGGAGCTCTGACCTTTTTGTTTCTGCTGCTGCTTAGCCAAGACTTCATTGCTGTAGGGCAGTGCCCTTGGGTTTTGTCATGGATACCCGCTTACTGGTTATTGCAACAACAGTAGATGAAACATCCCTCTTAGAAGCTCCACAGTTGAATAAGTTAGCTGGAGAGCAAGGGACTCACTGTGGGAACTGTTTGGTTTGTTAGTTTTACTAATGCTCAGTCTGGATGCTGGCCACCAGCTAGGCTGTGAACAGTAGCATAGCTGGGAGATCTTCAGGGAAGCTGCCTTCTGTGGCATTTGGTTTAGGTTATAGCAGGAAATTCTGCATCTGGGCCCTTTGTCTCAGATTTTCTGCTTTG